CCACTACGCCACCGAGAAGCTGATCAGACCGTTTACATTTGATTAAGATTGGAAGTGGGTCATTAGCTGAAACCGTTTATTGACACAATTAAGTGGGAGACTGTTTTACCAGCTGTATTTGCACGAACTGATGATGTGACATCGTGCTTTTTACAAATAAAAAATGTAAGAATTGATCTTCTCACACACTTAAATTTCGTATCTGTACCCTAAAACGCATTTCACATCAGAGAAACGATCAGTTGCTTTAGGTCTCACGACCAATACTATAGTTTAACAACGTCAATAATTTGGGCCAGTAAACAGTTCGGTGCATACGTGTCTGACCAAGCTTGTTCTCGAAAAGAATCCTAGTTTGTTTATCTCAGTGTGTTTCAGGTGATTTGCAATTCCTTTTTGCCGCTCTGTTTACCTCAATGCCAATTTTTTTTTAAAATAATTTTCACCATTCCCCTCCCCCCAAAAAATTAATCACGCACATAATATCACACCGAGTTCAAATAATCAGTAGAGTAAACTAATAGTGTTCGTTATAATCCCCTTGTATTGCCTCACAAATGCTGGTTTGCTTTCAGTCGCAGGCATAATGAAATGTTGCCATTTGTGTTTTCCGACGAATAAATATGAAGCAATTATTTTGGTCGACTTTTGTGGCACCATGTTGCATTGATCGAAAAAGAATAGAAAGGAGCATTGGGCTTTATCAGCAACGGGTACTTCTGACGATCTTACCCGGACTGCTTTCGTTAAACTGATGTAACCCTGCGCCAAAGTTGTTCGCCGTTGATCGTATGATTCCGGGGTGATGGCTTTCACAATTGAAGTCGTAGTAGAGGCAAAAAATATACATATTACGGATGAGTCCTAACCGAGCCAAAAATGTGTCCCCTGCTTTTTTGGTAATCAGAGCGTCATTTAACAACACAACTTGGGAGAAGCTTAAAAAATGAATAAACAGTGCTTGCCAACTTCAAGTTCACTCAATACTTGCAGCATTTGATTGTTTTGATTCATTTAATTACCGGTCTGCCTCACTTCATAATTTCTGGTTTTTCACCGGCAATTATGAGGTAGAAAAGTTTATCCTAACAAATAAACTATCTCACGTATTTTATCAGATCATCATTACGGCAAGTATATCCTGGATCAGACGGGTGCGCGCTTTCATCTCCCGTATGCTGTATACTTTAAACAGCATATTCCGTTTCTTAATCTTTTGCAAGCTGGATACTTCTTCACCGGAGCATACATATAATCTGAGTGCGAAGAATTCTGAATGATACATCATTTGTTAACAATACGCTCCGGGTGTGCAACACAACTTCTGGTACAGACAGTTACCATGGGAACGTTGCTGTTGAGGAATACTTCAGACCAAAACATGACAGATCTTGTTCGCTTTCCTCTATTGCAGATAGAATTAGCATCATAAAATACAGCACACTGTTTGTATTCCGCTGAATCCAAAGGCGCTCATTCACCATACTGTGGCCAACAAATTAAGCGGTGCGGTCTACGAGAGGAGTTTAGTTTATCCGTCAGCTAAAGCAGTGATCGAGCTTTTTGTTTTCATCTTCGAATGAGGTCAGGCGGCACACGACAGTTTTCTTTTTGAACGATAAAGGTGACCGCGGATTCGTGTATGAGGGTGGGGGGGATTGTGCATGCACCCAGTAGTACGCATACAAAAACAACTCCACAGGTCTTATCAGATTTTTGTACGGGCGCTCAAATGAGAAATTGTGAAAAAGATATTCATGGCTTAGGTTTTTCGGAAAATTCATTGCGCAGTGCTAGCCCGGTGTACATGTCCACACTGGTTCGAAAAGTAAATTGTCCGTAAAAAATAACTAATCACTAATGTGAAAATGCCCTATGTGAAGAAACTGGATTTTCGGTCTACTCGCGGTAATCCTTGGCTCTAATATGCTGGAATAGTGAAAAAGAATGCTTGCACGTTCTAACCATTATTTTCCTTATCCTGTGTTCGTGTTAAATCTGTAATCAGCTCATAGATGATCTGATATGTGATGCCATAACTCATAGAATTAGTGCTTCCTAGCTTTTCAGTTCACGCTTCATTCGCTACATGCCGTATCCCTTTGACATTAGTGAATTGGTAGTTCGGGATGGGAACTTTTCCCCAGTTGGAGCTAATGCATCGCGATAGAGCAGTGGAGTCGCATTTAAAATAAAGTGCCCATCGTCGTCTCGTGTTCTCGTATTGTTGCTGCTCGTTGTTCGATGTTCCTTGGTTATGCCCTTATCCGGAATAATGTCACATAAGGTCAATGGGATCATGTGATCAAATTTTTTGTGATTATCATTGTCATTTATGAGTGACCGAAATGTCGCATTTTATGTTTCCGGTCTCACATGCTGTCCGGTTAGAGTGAACACACGCACGCATACAGGCAAAGGGGTTTTCTTTCGAGGGAGAAAACGTGTACTTTAATCTTTGCATTTTTCACCACCTTAACAGGATTTTGTTGTTCACATCAAAACTCTTGTTCGATACGCGCTTCTTAGCGTTCCAGACAGTTTTATCAACCACGGAGAAAGTGAGATGAACTTCGCTTCAATTTATGGTATTTGAGGTGGAGGAGGGAGGAGAGGGATGGATTTGTTCTTGTTTCAGGTCTCTAATTTCCGTCTAGGTTGGGTTGAGGCGGTGTGATGTAGTGGAGTTGATAATGCGAATGCTTCGTGCCGAGAATTCATGATGTCACTTGGATAACACTGGAGGATTTATTCGTGAACCGCTTAATATTAAAAATTCATTTCAATCATGTTCGTTCTGTTTCATTTGTAAGGTACACTAGGAGGCACTTTTCTTACTTATTTTTACGGACGTGCTGTGGTAGTGGAAATTTTCAGTTTTTTAATTCCAGACAAGTATTTCAAGTTAAAATACCTCGGTCTATCCTTTCTAAATTTTCTTCACAGTTCCGTTTTTCAATGGAGTTCAAACGTTGTAAGAGTTGTCACACGGCGATGGTTGAGTGCATATGGAAATCATACCAAAGAGGCACACATTGTGGTCACACCAACTGTTGTCGTAAGTCGTGCCGTTTTCGTCATCCCCAGCTTCTCACTTTGTTCTTTCATTGAGACATATAGTGTGTTCCAGAATCATCCGTGTTACAGTATGAAGTCACGTCTTACACAAAACTGAGACAGTAATTTTAATACTTACCTTAAACAACGTATAAAACAAGGAAAAAGTTATTCTCGAAACGATTGCCTTGGTGATATGCGACCCGTGTTACCTTCTCTGCATGCCCATGTTTGTGTCAGATCGGCCCTCATTGTTTTTCTCCTCAATCGTGCTGTCCTGATTCTTGCTTGGGTTTCTGATTTGATTCGCGTGAAAATAGACGCAACGTGATGTTCAGTCGATGACAGGACAGAACGACGAGAACGATGGCGTGTATGAATTGCCCATCTGTTAGTTATCAACCTGTCTATCATGCCCACTTGTCTTCTACTCTGTTCGTTACCTGGTAACGGACATTTTTTGCGGATACATCCCGATGAAACTGTACCGGTTGATTCGGTACTACCAACCGCAGATTGTCTATTTCTTACGCCACACATTAGTTCTAAAATTAGTTTGATCTAATCGTGCCCATTTGATCAGCTAGTTTTACCGCGAACTGTATCCTGTTCCTAGTGAACGTCGTTGTGCTGATTAGTTAGAATGGTTCTCGTCGGATTTACGACCAAACGGTAGTAAACTAAAGCTTCGATCATACATCCTCAAATCTATCATATTGCGGTGTTAAGCGTTTTGATGAAAACAGAACGCATCACTATGATTCCACATGATTTTGGTCGTGGATAGTGCTCTTATAAAAGTTTTGAACAACCAGTATTAAATATTTAAAATTTGCTACCCACTGCGCTTGTGTCTTATGACAAATTGTTCATCCTGGAAAAATATTTAGTTCCTGGAATAAGTTCCTATTCGGAGATTTCACATTTTTACGGACTTTGTATTCAGAATTGAAAACTGCGAAAAGTCTAACTTTTGATTGATTTGAACTGACTATCCTTCGAACTTCACATTGGCGCACAATCCTCAGTTCGTCGATTCAACCATACATTCGGAAGCGCTAGACTCGAGTTTCGCTCTTATTAGAGCTCGTCAGTAGTGCATATCCACCGTCCCGTCCGGGATTTGAACTCCGGACCCATCGCATGGAAGGTGTGTGCGTTACCACTGTGCCAGCCAGCTCATACCGTGACTGAACCCAATTGCCAATTCATGTTTGTTCAGGTGTCAGCTTAAGTGATAGTCAGCCAATTCATTTGACCTGACAGCAACGAAGGGAGACGCAGATGACAACCTGTTAACTCCAATCGGAAGCCTCTCACAAAGTCAGGACTTTCATGCAGGTTACGGGCTGTCGGGTTAAATGAACTGACTGACTATCACTTACATCTGAACAAGCATGAATTGGCAATTGGGTTCAGTCACGGTATGAGCTGGCTGGCACAGTGGTAACGCACACACCTTCCATGCGATGGGTCCGGAGTNATGTATGGTTGAATCGACGAACTGAGGATTGTGCGCCAATGTGAAGTTCGAAGGATAGTCAGTTCAAATCAATCAATACCACTACTCACAAGTATTTGTGAGTTAAATGCAAAGTCTAACTACATGCCTTTTTTGTCTTCCTCAGCTTGCCATTTTCAAGTTACTGTTTCTTTTACTATTTTGTGTGTAGCTCAGTTGCGATAAAGAGCCTCCGATTTTGTCGTTCGACTTGAAAATTTGAGTAACTAATTTCAATTAAAAAAGCGAATCGAAAATAAACCAGAACCTAACAGGTGACCCATCAAATGTGACACCATCTGGGCTAAAAAACGACGCGAACACTATTGACAAAGAAACAATATAACGTGAATTTGAGAGCACATTGCGATGAATCCACAAGCTATTTGAGTCAGTCTCAACTAATCGGTGGCTCTCTAATTTGTTTTCAGCGTGTCGCCAGGGCGTTTTTCAATTGTCCAACACTGGACGGTGTGGAACTGGAAGATCAAGATGAACCGGGTGTGTTTCTAACGCACTGGGAAAAGCGAATTTTAGAGGTTAGTTTGCTTTTCCTTGTCACAGTTTGCCAAGCGGCGGTCCCGATTCGACAAAGGGCTATCAATATGGATAATGCACTTTGTAGGTCGATACGTTAATAGCAGTACCGATCTGTTCAAGCGTTGATAACAGATCGTATTTTCATCCTATTTAAGTGCTAATTAATTACCATTAGTTTTTAGTAACTGCGAGAAGTTTCCTCTTTGTTCTCACTGTGGACTCGTTCCGACAGAACGCTATTGAGTCCACCAAAAAACTGAATGGAAATGGATTGTTTCTCCTACTTTAACTTCGTACTAACTGGTTGGTCAATTCATCGATTACTCACCTATTAATTATCTTTTCCTGGATGCAGTGAATGCACACCGATGCGCGTTCATTTGTATTGGAGTACAGTGGGACTGGGAATGCCTGTGTAGGCTAGCCATTATGAGTTGGTTAGGTAGCTAGCTAGGACTGACTGGGTTGCAATAAACAGCTGTATTCTGATTGGACCCCATGGTCAGGTAGACAAAAGGAGTGCAGTGATATGCCATTGCTGGTAGACTGCTAGGACGGAGCGATAGACAGGTAAGATTTCAAAGAGAACCTGATTGTGTGCGAGTGGTTGCGCGAACTGAGTGTTTCGGCAATGCGGACAACCTTACTCAATCCTTATGCCCAGATCCGAGCGAATCAGATAACTGAGTTCAAACCGAGATAAGAACGTATATCTGACCGCGGGGTTTGTGGTGCATTGTTCAGGTAGTTTTGTTCTGTGTACTTCACCTCTAAGATAAAAAATAATTGTACACTTGCCATATTCAAAAGCAAACCCATCGCTAGTTTGTAAATGAAAGTCAAACAACGTGCTATCCTGGTATAATGTCGCTGATCCAATCGCAAAGCGGGTGATATGTTGTGCTTTAAAACTTCCGGATGACAAGTGGATTGACATTTGGGGAGGGGTTTGTATCGAGCAAAAGTTTCAATAGTTTTTCATCATCCGAATTTCTCTGTCATATTGATATTTTTGTTCAAATTAGACTCCACATCCCCCCGTAGGACGTTGAATTGGCGTTAAGTAAAATCCGTTTTGGGGATAGGTAATCAGTTGTGCTTCTGTACTCTGTTTTGAATGTAAATGTATTCCTTTGTTTCGATATATTCGGTTCCCTTGATCCCGCTCGCCCATACAGCACGAAAACAAATGCTGCCAGCGGTGAGCATCTTATTTACTGTCTTCGGCCGCTCACGTAAGACATGCTAATTTACGTACCACGGAAGCTTGAATAGAAGCAGTGTTATGTGTGCTCAAGTAAACGGCATGTAACTAACTGGATAAACCATCCGTGGGTGAACTCTTTTTTACCGTTCATGGAGTGGGCATATTCGTTAGCGTGTTAGCAATTCATTTCCACATGTTTAACCTAACTATCCACTTCCACCACCGCTATCCGATGTTTTCCGTTCTCTGTGCTTCATTAGGATGTAACCCCCCTTCCTGAGTGATTGGGATACAAGACAAAGTGAATTGGAGGTCAAACAGTGAATAGCCTTCTTTTATTCAATGAAAAGAATAAAAAACTATTACTACAGGATTAGTCTGAGTTACCTTCTTGAATTCGACTGATGCACGTGCCTATCTTAGCATCAGTCTCTAATCGAAGATTCAGATATGTTTAGAAAATTGCTTACAACGTGTGACTTTTTTTCTACCCTCGTGAGTTTCCAACTCAACTCTATGGATTCAAAATAAAATCCGTTTGAGTTACACATGAGTAGTAACAGTTTTACTAAATCCCAGATTGGGGAATAAATGAACAAGGGAACGAAATTTTCTGTTCATCTCAAAACATGTTGATCAGTGGCCATCCATATTCACACGAACTAGACGAAGACTTTCGCAGTATCTGAAAAGTAACTAGTTAGTATTTTTCTAGCCTTAGCAAATTAATGATATCTACCATAGGGAGACAAAAACAGTTGCCAATCTCTCCTTCTGTTTGTTTTCCATGCACGGTCTGATCGAGTAGCGCTGAGGTCTTTTAGTTTTACTTTTAAAACACCAGTCCCCCTCCTCCCCCCAGGAAATTCAATAAATGCAATGCTATCAAAATGAAATAAAACCAAAGCTTTATGAGTTTGTGTTTTCTTTTTAGCCCAGAATGTTTTTATTGTTTTTCGTGTGTGTGTGTGTGTGTGCATATCTCATGTTTTCCCCCCGTAACTCTTTCCTGTCTTGCTTTTTCGTTCTGTCTGAATGCAAGTGAAACCGAATCATGAACCGTAGGGACCTTTTTTCAGGTTTCTGCATGAATAACAACGCAGTGTTATTTTATTACGCTTCATTCACAGTGTAAATCTTCGTGTACCAAGAACTGACTATAGACAAGGATTTGTGGGGCTTTTCAGTTTTGTGTTGGAAAACCAAGGCAGCAATGATGAAATCTTTTTTGGTCTTGTTTTGTTATCAGTGTTTGATATATGTTCAAAAACTGAGGCGCTCATCATTAAGAACTGGCAATTTAAGACCGTTTCATATTACACAAAACGTTTTGCATCATTGTGTTCTATTCATCTTTTTTGCAAGTCCTCCAGCTGCATTTTCTGATCTTTTGACCACAGAGTTAGATATTTAAAAATCTGGGTTTGTCAATCATCTCTGGTATTTCTCTAATTTGGACTGGTTATTCCGTCGGGCAATGTTCTGGTGGATCAATAGCATTTCGTTTTAATTTCCCTGTTATCTGTTGTACAACTTTCTTCCGTTTCCATTCGTTAATGCGGTTTATGTGTATATTAAAGAGAAGAAGGTGAACGCTGAGTGTTATATATATTTATATACACTGTTCCGGAGACTTAAATCAGAAATCATCTATTCCGTATTCTGTTCCCGTCGTGAAAAAACGGGGATAGAAGAAAAAGATCTCCGTTTGAACTTTGTGCTTATTTTATCGTCTAAATACTGGTGTTATATTCGATCAATCCTCTCATAGCAGAGGCTTCATTGATTGTACTGTCCGGCCATATCTACTGGAGCTCGCGAGCAGTGTTGCTTATGATTTTATGGCTGCAACCCGAATGCTTTGATGCCCTGCCATTGCCAGTTTTGATTTCAGTATTTTCAAGCTTCGAGCCCAGATTATTCACTGACTTCGCTTTTTTGTTTCATTTATAACTTTTGTCTGTACGGACGATTAACCACATCGAGCCATTTACGACTAGCAAATGTTTCGGTGGACAATATGATTGTTGATATGACGTTGCCAATGCAAGCCCGAAGTTTATGAAAACTCCGTCTTCTTAAGAAAAATATTATACAAAATCTATATTTATTAATTCCTTTATTTCTTTCATTTTCGGCGACTGACGGTGTCAGGAAGAACAAGAGTTTATCGAGTGGCAAATTCTCATTCGATTTCATAAACTGGGACGTGTGCAGTTGTTGTTTTTCATTTGGATCTCCATGGGTTTAAGAAAGGCACCTGGTCAAAAATTACGCACTGCTGTTGAGCCCCGAACAGAACGATACGGCTGTCTGGTGCTCTTTGTCGGTCATCACAAATATTTCCATCGCATTTGAAGGCACCTGTTCACTTAAAAATATCACAGATGCTCAGAGATATCGAAATTCGCCACCTCGACCAATCTTCTATACATCTATCCTATCGCAATATTGTCTTTGTCGGACTATGAAATGTTACACTCTGCTTTTTGATTAGTGGAGCAATTGGACGTGTGAAGACATCAGAAATGGAATTTACGTGATGTGTACAAGTCTTAATAAATTTCTATTGAAAATCCCTTCTCGTAGCTCGGGTGAACTGAATCCCGTTTCGCCTGTTCACCGAGCTTGGCAATTTGCTTGCAAACGTTTCATCACCAGCCGAGGTGAATAAAGATTCCAAAAGTTGAGACTTGTTTTGGTCGATGCTCAGGTGAGCTGCTGCCGATACTCTGGACAGTTCTCCATACCTAATGGTGAACTTTATTAACATGAATCTAAACAATCAGTGAAATTGGAGCAAGTCACACATTCGGAGCTAATCATTTGCTTGTTTGTGACTTATTTGAAACCTCTTTAACTACGTAGACTGTTGTTCCCTGGGGTTCTCCAAAGTTCCGGGTGTCTACACTTCGCACAGTGACAGACACATCTTTCCTAGTGATCGGAATTCGGTACAAAGTAAAACTGGCTACACTGATCTGGTTTCGTGTTAGTGTGTTCGCATACCTCTAAATTAAGGGAAGAGGTTATCGCTTTCTACCGACCATTTATGCTGGGGTGACATCATCGCTCATCAATACATATATTGTTCATTCAAAAAGTATGGTGTAGAATGATTAACTCATTCAACCAATGTGTGAAAAGATTCCACCTCAACCAAACTGATTGAATTATGAACACAAAATGTGGAACGGAGAGAAGTGTTTAAAGTTATTTCATTTGGTGTATTTACACATTTATAGTACGATGAATGAAGCAGTGAGTGATTCGCTTTCGTATAAGTTTTCAACTGGTTTGACACAAAAGAAAAATTATTTCTTTTATGTTAAACAGGTTTGTGGAATGTTGCTTTACAAAAATAGACGGTAATCCGGTTGGATGGTCAGTCGGTGTATCGCCCCGGGGGTTGTGCGCGAATCGCACCACTCACGTATAACTCCACATTTCTTTGTACTGCGTGATAGCTGTTTAATTTTCCACTTTCCTTCCTGAAAATTGTTTGAACTATCAGACCTTCAAAGAAAGAATGTAAAGTATAAAAACGCTGATGTCGAATGGGAGAGGGAAGGTTACTGGACAGCGAAAAACACGACTTTTTAGCCCTTTGTGATCGGAGTAACACCAGTGAATGAATTAGGTTACACTTTTCCACCGTTTGAATTTCCCAATCCATGGCTTCAACAAAAGGTAAGAACAATGCTATTTAGTTCTCCGAAGTGAAACCTGAGTGTTACCATGATAGCCTTGAGCGCGTTCTCCGTATCCACTTTGTTCCCGCCACTGGTCGAATTGTTGCAGAACTGCGTTATTTATAAGCCCAACTGTGCCATGGCAGAGATAATACGAATATTGTTCTGTAATACTCTTTGACAGTTTGTTTGTTATGTGTTCGATATAATGACCACTTGCACGCTAATGCAGTTTGAACGAGGAACGGAGATCGGAGACACAATTTGTTTGTGGCAAACCAGACTGTTGACGTTTTAGTCCTTAATACAATCTTGAATAACGGTGTCAGAAGGCCTCGCCAACAGTTGGTGATTGTTTTTCCAGAATTGCAAAAGTTTCACCTTTGGAAGGAGGGGAGGGACAGTAAATACACACTTCTTGTGTAATACCCAAAAACGTCAAAGCAATTGCATTGTAATTCCAACTCAGAAGTTCAATCCTCCTTTGCCCATAGCTATCATGTTAGCATTTTCTTTTCTTTATTTCAGAATGAGCTCATGACTGCTACTTACACGAATTCGTACCGCGTTTCCCCAATTACCTTGGCAATGATGGAAGACACCGGGTTGGTTACAGTTTGGTCTGTTTTTACATCTTCCTGTTTACTCATTTTTCAGCGTGCATTGGTCTGCTCATCCTACTTATAAGCAGCTATCAAACAAATTCTAAACAACCACGCTCGAGATAGTTGAGTGTGAATAAAATAGTCGTGGACATGGAAACTGGAATGTTTTCATTACAACGATCACCCTTCGGCGGTTATCGCCAACAGCACGAAAAGTTGTAGTGTTGTATCTCAGCTCACAACACAGCTGATTCTATTTGATGTACAGGGAAACTCAATGTTTTTCACAATCTTATAACTGAAAATTTCAACTTCGTTGCAGTGTAATATGCGTTGTGTAACCTTTCGGAAAGATGCGGTTGGTGATGATGCGGGAATTGATCAATTTTCGTGGTTTGCAAAATCATTTTAAAACAATCAGCATTCTAAATCCGTTCAAGCTAATCGTTTTTTTAGGCTGTTTCTTTCAATTTCCCCTGTTAGTGTAACGGCCCACTTTATATCGATGTCTCATACAATGTTTCCCACCCTTGGTTATGTGAATATTCATCACAATAATCTCCAGTTCAATCAGATATTTTCTTTTATTTGCACTGTTTTTGAAAAGATGACGGTACTTAATGAAGAGTAATTATTTCTGATCTATGGGTGGTTAAAACTGTTCAAAGGAGATTTTAGCTGAAAGAAATGGAAAATTTTTACACGTATGCAAGATCCAGGCATTTTGAGTCCTTCATTAGGTTCCTGGTTCATGCTTGAATCCCATCGGTTTGTTTATTTCCTTTTCCCAAATTTTGAAATATTTCATGCTGGCCCCATATGCTCGACACTGTTTGAACCGGTCTTGGCGACACCTATCGCGTTAATTGATTTATGTCGGTGCTGAAAACCATACTGTGCTTGGAATTCCCTCCGTGGGGAGCCCAAGAAACTGCACATGTATTTGGTCGTGTTAGTATTGCGCATGTATGGTTGTACACATTGTGTGCAATGGCTCGTACGAAAGCATGATTTGTATCTGAGTCTATAAATTGACCCTTACTCGTCTTGTGCTTGTTTACTGGACTACTGTTTCTCGAGTTTCTCTTCTTTCTTCTGTCATAAGAAACAAATTACATTCGATGGATAGAAGTGATCTGGCAAAATGCGCAATAAAAAACCGCAGCCACTGCCACTGCGGTTCGTCTCCGTGGTCAACAAACATGACCACAGTGTGAAACAATGTGAATGGATCCGAGAAGAGTTGTAGCATAGTTGTCCATTCTGATCTACCACTGTGACGCCCATCTGTGTTCACCTCCTCGGGATTTACTCGGCTAATTCACCTCCGGTAATGTTTTACACGATGGATTTTCGTCAAGTTAAACAAATCAGCTTACGTATACATTTCTATCCCGCTGCATTTTGGACATATTCCAATGAGCATGGAGTCACACACTTTTCAAACTATGTGAAACCAAGATGCCATAAGTACAATTTGAAAAATTATCAAGTTTTCGAATGGTCCTGCTGGTACCAATCATCTTTCGTGTTCCACTTCTTAACATTCTTGGCATCTTAACTATGATTAGAAATACCCAAAGGCGGGAAGACACTGGCGCATGATTTAAGCTTATGAACAAAGCCTCATGCGTATGGAAATTATGGAAATCAGCTAACAGTCTTGATCAGTCTATTCTGGTAGATTCTATCCTTTGGTTGCTTTATATTTACGGGATTGGTGTTTCTCGGCTCCCCGGCTGGGGCCCCCAAGATTCAGATTGTCTTTCGCTGGAGACACTGCGCGCATCAAACCGAAGTCAGTGGCGCGAATGCATCCTCTCTTATCTGCAATCCCAAAAGTAAAGAAAAACGAAAAAAACTCAAAATGGCGTTCAGTACACAAACAAAAAAACCGTTACTCCCCGATGTTGACTGTTTTACTCTCCCCGCTTCTGTATCTATATTTCTTCGCTCACCCATGGTTATTTGGCGCCGTATCTGTAAAGATTGGTGTTAAATATATATATTCTTTCATGAAATGAGGTGGTGGCCCGGTGGTAACGTCACCAAATTATCACCCCTGGGATGTGTTGGCATCCCACCACCACCGCCTGACTTTTCCCGATGTGTTGAATGGCAACTCTTTGATTGGCCGCTTCCCTCTTTCTATAAATTGTATCTTTGTATACTTGATAAAAAAAAGTAAAAATGAAGTTTTGTATATCAGTTAATTAATACTCAATGGAATGAATTATTTCACTGGTTAGTTAGTCAAGTCAAGATAAAATTTATGTTACCAAAGGTTTAATTTCAGTAATTTACTAAATTTACACTGGTCAGAATTGCACATATAGAAATGAGGTAGGCGACTGGCAAAATTAAGATAATCTACTGCATAAATTTTATCTTTCAGGATGGCAATCATCCGTGCGTGGCCATCCATAAAGCCAGCTGAACGTCATATCATTGACAGGGCCCACGTAGTCCGGGATTCCGCACGTCTCATATCCTGATCTAATTGACTGTAGAAGTTGAACAATCCGATAGTGGTTTTCTGCGTTCGTTCTTCCCTTGTCTCTTGTACGCACACTCGGTGTTGTCAGACAAGATATGATGCGTCTGTTTGTCACTGATTTTATCGTGCCTGCTACACCGAATCCTGGCAAATGCTGAAGATGCTGACCTTCTTTTTGTCGAGGGTGAAAAGTTTATTGTTCAGATTGTCTTTCTGTCTGTTTTTTTTTTGTTGCGGTCGGGGAATAGGGGGGGGGGATCTGAAATTCCCGAAACCAGTTATATTGCTCCATCATTAGGTGAAATTCTGTCTTGAGTACCCATAAAGACCCGGAAACGGTACAGAGAAGAAAAATTGTCTCATACGTTATGCTTTTCACCCTCAGGTCCGTAACTTGTTTCAACGTGATATGGAGGTTTTGCTTGCTGAATAAAAGTAGAAAATAGACCCGGAAAAATGGTTACTTGTTCAATCAAATCTCGTTACATCAACGCCTTTTGTTTTTCTCTTTAGATTTTAACAGAACCCCTTTGCATCTTCCAGAGACTTGTGGGCAGTGCTATCGTCTAAGATTAGGGGAATTTGTATACTGGCTCGTTTTGAGAGGCTCTTACTACTGGCAACTCGTGCCCCATCCGTTTGCCAGTCGAGCACGGACTCTCATTGGTCCGAGATTCAATTCTCCGATGAAACATCGGAGAAGGAGCAGGAAGCTAACGGCACTGTGTGGTTTTGTTTTTTGTGTGACCTTCCAACTCATTTCTGTTTTCTGCTCATTGTGCATTCAAATTGTACATTAGTTTGAAAGAAGTGAATAACTTTTTTTGATAATGCATTTAGTCGCCTCTGGTTGTTTCTTTAATTTACTGTAATTGTTCTTTTGTAAAAACAACTGCTTTCGTTCTACACTGTCAACCGGGAAATCGTTTTGTCGGGGCGGATAATAGTCCTAAAAGCCGGAAGCGTCTAACGAGTGATAAACATACGATGGATGAAAAAAATCATGATACATATAGGTGCCCTATACTTTAGGGCATGACATACTTCGCGGTGGCTCACGCCGACGAAGGGGTTTTTCTTTGGGCTCTCTGACCCGGGCCTGCGACTCAAAAATCTGGCCTGCAAGCCAGCCGGTCGTAGACCCATCGTGGTAGTGTGACCGAAGCACCCTTGTGGGAACTTCTGTCGATCAAGGCCTTCGGGTTTCAATTCAGTGTATGGTTCGCTGGTGCTTTGATTGACGAACCGGTGTTCGGGATTGGCCCTTAGCCTCATGCACCTGATGTGACAGGCGGAATGTGGATGGGACAGCACTTTATTGGTTCGGGGGCTGCCCAACTTCGGCGGGCGGTAGCTGTTCAATGAAGTTCGAAGGCTTCTCTCTCCGTATGGAGGAAGCTCCTGCCTCTACGTTTAATCGTTTCTTATCCGTTCATTGAAATAAGCAAAATAACTGCCAAACGAAAGTGCATGGTGATTGATTGTTCGAATTGAAACTGAAACCAGCACAATAAAAATGTATCTGTGCTCATTCGGATTCGAAATGAAGCTCAATAATAAAATTATCGCATTCATTCTCGACGAATTATTTTACGGATTGTTCAGCTTTTTACTCACCAGTTAAACATGAAAATCAATGTACAACTTTTTTACCCATCGCCCAATTTCTTCAACGGTTCCGGGAATTAATATTGTAAATATGCTCGGTTTCTGTAAGTGGCTCTGAGTATTTAAAAACAATTATTGGCCCTAGAATGCGCTCGGTATGGACGAAATCGTGTTTGTTTTAGAAAGTTCATGATAATTTATACACCCATCACTTCAAACAAGATTTTGAGTTCATTTTCGTTCAAATTATGGAAGCAGATAGCCGTATATGGCCGTATGTCTCTCCCTTTCTTGGTCAATGGGATGACTCGAAACGCGTCGCTTCTCGAGAAACGCTTTCATTTTACTATCTGAAATGGTGCACAGAAATTAAGTGTATTCACACTCGCAGTGCAGCACTGATTGATTCTCCGGCCACAGCCAGAAACAGATTGGTCATTTTGTCTATTGCTTTCACTTCAGCAATTTGATTGTAAAACTGCAAGTACAGTCCTATCAATATGTACAAAGAGAACTAGTCAAATGTGGTTTAACGTCTCAAGGGAATATTAAGGCCTAACTCATGGCGAAGATTGAGACAGAGAGAGAGAGAGAGAGCAGAATTTGATAATAATGAAAAAATGCATGAACATCACTTAAAGATGATATTGTTTGAAATATACATCACTGAAATCTGATTTCAAACCGATTGCCCAACTAATCACGGTACAATAATCTTTATGCAAAGAAAATGCCCTGTGATTTGCCCGAGGACGTTGCTTAGGCCTAAACAGGTCAATTGCCTTGGGGAGTTCACAATCCGTGTCTTTGACTAGCCAAAGTCTGACCAACGAGGCGGTGAGTAAAAACCGCAATCCATAGGGGCCTGTATCTGGTTCATCGGATTATACGCCTTTCAGACCCCGTCAAATATCCAAGGTGCCCAATACCTCTCCATACCGATTGAGGCCAACAACCACTACCAAAAACACGGCGTGCGGTTCGTACACCTCTGGTTGGTTTGACTACAGGGGTGTTATCCAACTCCACTAGATGAACCGCCTGTGGAGTACTGACCCACATCTTGGCGTTTTGTCCTCTCACTTTGGTGGGGATATACCTCCGCCACGATAAAGCATTTAGTTCGACTTCCTCAGCAAAAGCTATTTGAGACGTTTGGTCGTATGGGAGCATTTCACGAGATGCAAAAGAGGATTGACCAACCGCAACCTTAGACACCCACTCGATCATACTGACTTCAGAGGCCTTGTGAAAAGTAATTTGAGCTAACGGTTGAGGGGTTTGTACTGTTGATGCTGAAAACTTTGGGATAGACCCATTTACTTATCCAGGGTTTAAGCATGATATATAAAAAATAATCGAAATATCAAACGTCGGGAAATGTGTAGAATCTGTTTAGCTTTGTGCTCGAAAAATGAATCAGACTTTGTCCTGTGACTTTTGGGTTCGCGTAGTTCGCTGGAGTTCGTATTCGTCTGTGATAGACTCTGCTCAAGGGTAATTTCACCAGTTGGTACACTAAAATCATTTTATGATGGTTTGAGGAAATATGATTCAACGAGTACCATAATTAAGATATGATTATTCGGTAATTCTCTTTTGGATTGAAACTGGCGGTTCTACATTTCATTCAGCCTTTTAATGGATTTCTTGAAGTCAGTATCTTTTCCAGTATCAACGCATTGTGATACCAGTCTGTCTTACAAAGGACGTAGAATGCGTTCCGTTACAAGAATGTTGCAATTAATCCGTAGTTGGTGGTAGACTTATTATTTGAAATACTTCACTTTGTTTGCCTGTCAAATCTTTGTTGCTTAGGCACAGTTTCACAGCACACTGTATTTCTTCACTCCTCGAGCAGCTATTCGTGCAAGGAACAATTAATCTTAATGCTCTTCTTTCTGTTGTGCATCTCTCTTGATAATTCTTTACGTAGTGACTCGTGACTCAACTGTCAACGAGTATCAACCTTCTCGCATAACTGGCAGTGTTTCGTACCCGGAATAATTTTGTCGAATCTAGTTAATTTGATAGGCATATTCGGCTGTGGAAATAATTTCCCGTTGCATTTGTTTCTCCATGCGCTTCATTTACGAAACACTTTCTGAGATTCCAGGGTCTTTGTTTTTTGGTACCCTAGATGTTGTAGAAAGCTTTCCGATGCATGCTCTACGAAAAACACGCCGTGGTCTAATATCTACTTACACTTTCATTCAAAAGATGAAACAGCTGAGACATGCAATCGACGCGCAAACGATTGAATGCGATTCGACCTGCCATCTCGTGAAGTAGCAGTTGTGGGTTTCTGACAAGTTCTCTTCGATCTAAGCCGTGATAACGTTTTTAAAACTCCTTCTGGAATGGCATCACTTGTCATTATCTTAGCCTTTTTCCTGTTACGGCGCCATTTGCGAAATGGCAGCGTTTCAATCGAAGTGCAGTATTCTACTCGGTGTCTGATGGATAATATGGAACGATTCATGCTGCTTTGCGAATGTACGTCGCTCTAAAAGGAAATTAAACAAGCGTTTAGTCGGTTTCTCCAAAACGATCAGCTTGTTTAATCGCGTTTTCTAGTTTCTTCCACTTCTATGGCCACCGTACCTGCTTCAAGGAAATGAAACATTCTCCCATACAAGGAAAGCTAGTAGTAATATGGTTATGTTCGCACTTGGAAAATGTAAGCTTTTGCCTAGTTGTAATTGGATGGCTTCATTACATTTCCAACTTCGGTTTTGAACACTTATAATTTTTACGGTGCAATAATCGCTGAAATAAGAGGTTTTGATGATCGTTTGAACAAAACAAAACAAAACAGTTCATCTCATTTTTCCCATTAATTATGTTTCGGCAAGCTCCAGAATATTCCATCAATAGTGCTTGCTAACCTTTTCTGCGTACCATGTTATATTTTGAAGTTATATTTACTAGCGATTTCATCGAATCTGATATTGTTTCAGTCCTCAAAATTCCCCGGTAGGATATCGCACACAAAAAGTTATTACCTCTACCCAAACATTTCCATTCGGTACTTCAGCAATGAGAACTATGGCTATCAGTCTTCATAAGAAAAAGTGGAAAGCGAAATGTCACCAGGCGAGAACTTGGTTCTCGGCACTTATTACGTCGAACAGTTGTCACGGCTGTCTGTTTCCCACAAGCAGAAACTACTTTCTGGAAACCGATTCTGATTTGTACGCTGATAGAAATAAAAGCTGAAGGGAAAATATTAAACCCTGGACTGTTTAGCGTTGGATTAACAGATGTGCTAACGGGTTTATACATTTCCGCCGCAAGTTCAAAATTAGTATTTATTTATCGATCGGGGTGAAAAGCGTCTGTTCAACACCGTTAATTTTGTTTCAGAACTACAAAATCAGATTACGGTTCTCGCGTTGGTTTGTAATAAATTTCGTTGACTCGTTTGACCATCCGACCTGTAAACAACTGTGGTCATTCTTTTCTTAAGTTTTGTGTTTTCGGACTTCCAAATGGCACTACTTTTCATTGAATTGGTGGCATAGAAATGTAATTGAAAGTATACAATTCGTAACTTTGTGTGGCAACTTTTATATTCTCGAACAAATGAACAGTTTCTCTCATATTGTTCCGTATTTTTGTTCCGTCGCAAAACTCCCCGGCTTTTTTCATATCAGTTGGTACTTGGCTAACTACTCCATGTCCCACGATTTCAGTTGGGGCCGTGGTCGGGGTTGTGCATTTGCAACTGCCAGCTGTTTGGAATATATGTTGGAGCAAAAAATGCGGTATGTACGATTTTTAGACATATACTCGTATTGTATCAAAGCGGCGGAACAGAGGCAAGTCATCTGATCGTGAATATGGGGTAAAACTTGTTATTGCATTAATGTTCGTTATTATTATTATTATAATAGAAAACGGATTTCACATACAAGAAGTCCCCCACTTAGTTTCAGTACCCATAATAGTTGTTGGTTTCATAACAATTCAGCCGTCGATTCTTGAGAACGTGATGGTTATACACCGTTATCAAGTGACATTTTTAAATTTTTATCTCACCCAATCTTGTGATGAATGGCAGAATTGGTAAACTCCGTAGTTCAGTAATGATAATTGCGAAACTGAGCCCAGGGTATTAGAGCAGCCAAACACGAGAACCCATTGGGGTGTGTGGTTTTGAGCCGGACGATATTGTAGGTTCATACGACATAAAATAGATGTGGATGGCATCATCAAAATCTCGGACCTTAGTCCACGGAATGTGTTGATGAAAGCAACTTGAACTGTCGGACGACGATTAACCCGACAACCACCACTCTAGTGAGCTAATGGATCACGCTTTTCCTAATTGTTTCTAGATTTTTTAACACTTTTTCACTCAGTTCTTTTCATTTCAAGGGACGCCTTTGTTATTTCGTTTCGTTCACACCAACCGTTAGAATTACTTTTGTTGTTTGAAATTAGCGTTTTTGGAGGATGTTTTCCGCTTGTAATCGTTTGTCGTGTACACCTTAATATGGTCCAGTAACCAGACTGTCAGGATGACTTTGTTGGACAACCTGCGTGTTACTTTCCAGTTCCGCTGAATTTAGTTTGCGGTATGCTGATTGTTCTCAGTTAAAATAAATGATAAATTAGCAATGCACACAAGTCATGTCGTGGAAGCTGTATTAAACGGAAGCAGAACCAATTTAGAATAGGGTTTGAACGACGACAATCGTTGAAAATCTCACTGTCCAATAATTGTCTATCCGCCCAAAGCTTTTATGTGATGAACTACAAAGTGCGAAATCGCTACTCCCAATTTTATTGCGCAGGTCGCAGTCAAATATTCAATAGCTTATTCGACGATTCTAATACATCATATGCATCATATCTCTAAGGGTTGTTTTGTATATATAAATTGCACTAAGTAGGATATGAATCACTGGACAAAATTTCCCTGGAGGCACACGACCGGTTTCGCGGTTCTTGCCGCTCGTCTGGTATGCGTATCCGGTAGTCCTTTTGTTTTTTCACACACATGTAATCTTCACAGAGACGATGCATGAAAAATGTCACATGGTTTTACTGTTTCATGTACTTCCATGGCTCTTGAAATGTTAGACATGATTTATAAAGCATTTACTTCCAGAGAAGCGGTTGTGGACGCACAGACAATGTTAGGCGACAGATCATTCCAGATGTTATACATACTGACGGAAAAGCCCGTTAGACCTTCGCGGCTTTGTCCATAGAATGCGTTCAATATTCGGTCTTTAGAAACATTTACTTGCCTCAATTCGAAATTAGAATTTGCCTGTGATGACATGTGCAATCATATGGTTGAGACTAGCGAATTACAACCTTGACTCCCTTGCTAACGATGGCAAGCTGTCCACATCCTCACCGACAGTCCCAGACCTACATACCCGGCTTTCACGTTCATCCTGGAAGTCGCGTAAAATTTTTACAACTGACGAACATCCTTATAGCTTCCAAATAAGTATAAAACGGAAAAGAATTCATCAATCCGACTGATTGCTTGTATTAGTAGCGGGTTTTAAAAGCAGTCAAGTTGAAGAAGCCTGGTACGATAAAGTTACCATTGTGGGATTGAGAGTTAATCCGACGCGAATCTCTAGAACGACCACCCCCTGCTTAATTCCGATCTACGTCAGTTTTCCTGAATAAAAATTACTGTTATAATAGGGTATTTTGTATATGATGAATTCATTTAAATACATTCGACACAGTTTCACAGATGCGTTCATCTTCAGCATCACGATATCTTAGTTTTCTGAGATGAAAACTCGAAAAAGATCCTGTGGATTACAGAATGTTCATCTGTGACAAACCTAGCGATTTTTTTCATTATTTGATCATAGAGGATAACACGACAGTAAAAATGATGATAAAGGAATAAATATATATGGTAGTTTTCTTATTTGATACTTGATAAAATAAATAAAGATAAGTGATAAATTCGTTTCCGTCAATAAGATCAAATTCCACATGGCAAATCAGTCGATTGTTCTGCGTTTAGACGGTTAACCGCTTCCAGTCAGATTTGGTGCAGCTATGACATTTGATCTTCCACCTCGAACAAACCAACTATGTCATGACAACTGCGAGAATAAAACCTCTGTGCGATCTGTCAGCACCTTAAACATTACTGGTAAATTCACCTCTCACTTGCCGGACGAGAAAAATAATGGGGTACATGCGCGTTGGCGTTAATAGTTCGAAAATCTCACGCCGTGGTCACAAAACTTCCGCGATTACAAATTATGCAAGCAAGCCCGGGGCATCCAGTCGGTTTGTTCGCATTAGTCAATGGACTTTAGACGGACAAAACTTTGCGCATCACTGAGACGTTGACAGTTGGAATTTACACCATGATTCTATGCACACAAAAGGCAATAACGGTGATGTTTACTGAAACTCCGGCTAATTAGCCCACCCACAAATCCACGCCACTCTAGTCGTTGCTCCCAATTTGAGTCTTATCTCGTTTTGTTTTTCGTTGCAGGATGTAAAGCTATTCACTGCTTGTCTCAATTCATAACCGTCTCTCCCCTCCCTTCTATGACCCATCTTTATGGATTGTTCCTAACAGAGGGCCGGGTTATGTTAATTCATATGAAATAAATAAAGGCATAACAAAATTTTACGGTATAAATGCAGCGAAAACACTGTTACACAAATAGCCTACTTTATCTTACTGAAATTCGTATGCTCTACAAGAAATAAACCTCATCCACTTTTTATTGAAGTAAATTTTTGATGAAAACGTAGTGCCTAACGAATAAACCTATGCAAAGTTTCAACTTTATTTGGATGCAAATTGGTGCAGCAACTCTGTCATTAAATTGAATCACCTCTTCGCATAAGGTAGCAGTCAGGCAATCCCGGAAGATTTTACTGTTGCTGGGTGTAAATATTTATTGATTCCTCACCGTTTATTCATAGTTTTGGTAAGCAAACTCGCTGTTGGCTCATTCCACAGCTCAGCCACTTCTTTGGGACCGCATGGGTTTCATGATTTCAAGGATTTGGTTGACACTCCTCCTAACCGATCAGTAAAACCTCCTCTGTTTGGAGCAAATCTATACACCAAACTCTGGTGTATAGTACAACACTATGTCATGTATTCTTACGTGACGGTTTGACGTTTCGCTTATCATCGTCATTAATATGCTCGTAAACACGCAGCCAGCTTCGTGGTGATTTCCAAAGTACCTCCGTATTTTTATTTCCAGCCTCTATCCGGTAACACCTTTCTGTCAACAAGTTCAACCACCTCCGGAACGTACTGAAGAGACCGGTGTGCAAGTCAGCTGTACACCAGACGGAGTCAGTTACGGGTTTTGCAATCTGATGGTTCATTCGAAACCACTGGCACCGCAATACGTGTATTTTGTACAGACAAAACAGTCGGGACGATGGAGTCCGGTTCAACCGTTATCCATACTGGAATTGGGCAATGGACAACGCTTGAGCGATTCTCGACCACTGGATTATGTGGGAGGGAAAATCGCATTGGCGAACTACTGTCCTTTTTTTCAGGTACGTTTCGCCTGTCCGGATAAACCACGGCAATTTTTTATTGACTTTGTCCGACTGTCGTTCTTTTTCGAATGTGACACTGTGTGTGTAGAGCGAACTAGAACAGAACTATATGGTTTGGATGTTAGTCCAGTTTATGTTGTCCATTTTCTCAATGCAGAATTTTGTAGCTGCTTCTATTTGATCGTTGACCCAAAAAGAGAACGCCGTATAGAACCAAATAGAACTCATTCTATCGATTAGTCTCGTGAAGTTTACTTCATAGTGTCTGCTATAAATGGTTGCACTTGCATTACTTTTCACCCAGTGCAAGTCTTTTGATTGCAAAAAAACAAAATAAGCGTATGATGGCATGAATTTTTTTCATAAAAACTTCGTTTTGTTTTGTCCTACCCATCCTATCTGTTTTCGGTTAATCTCAATTTCATTCTGTCTTACTGGTTTGTAATGAAATATGTCGTTTTCTTTTTTCGTCGATTACATGGTCGTATTAGTGTGATACGTCTGAACCTAGTTTACTGTCTTCTTCAGTGGTGTTTATGGTCATTGGATTGTAAATCGCTCAAAGAATAAAAATCACATTGTGAAATTTCTCTCAATTCGTTCCTCAAGTCTCGATAAATCTCATTTATGTGTGGTTTATGAGACTGTTCCCATTACTTCTTCCACGACAATGTATTTTATTGTCATATTACGCCAACCAAATTATTTTGAAACAGTCCCCAGGGTGCTATGAAATAGCTTTTAATCGAACCGCCTGCACACCTGACTAGGGTTGAGCTTAATGCCCTCCGTGGTTCGTTCCCTCTCTCATTAGCCGTTTGGGGCAGTGACTGTTGACTTGTGCTCAAAACTGCACTTCAAACGATCAGAATGTTTATTCCCACTCCAAGCTGATTCGGTTCATTCAGTTTGTTCTGCAAAGCTCCGGTCTTGTTTGATCCAGACCATCAGAAAACGTTGATGCAAAAGAGGGTTCATAAAAAACGTCAATGCCCCGAGTGATTTTTTCATATCCATGACAAATAATTTTAAGACATAATTCAGTCTAATCTCTCACTTTTTATCCAGTATTGATAAGAAGGTACATTAGCTTTTTTCACGATATGGTTTGATTTATGTTTGGACAGTGATGTTGCCAAATATGTTTTTTTAATAAGAACAGCGCATCATTTGGTCGGTCTAAAGGTCACATCCGAGGCCGATTGCCATCCTGTGTTCAACCTCTGTGCATGCGCACGGACGGTTTCCGGTTACGGGCTGTCACATAAATGGATGGTTCCCGTCCCCCCCCCCCACTGAACTTCCCTTTGAAATAATTTTTTCTTACAGTTTTGACTAAATACTGGAATAAATTTATATCAGCCAGACGAATAATCACGATTGCACTTGGAACATTTTGATTTTGTTCTACCAAAGTGCATCGATAATCTAGCGACACACCCCATCAGCGCGTTGCATTTAACTAGTGTAATATGGTCGCCATGTTTATCTAACTTAATTTGCTTTCTCCATCTTCTTTAATTTACCTTTTTAACTTGCGTAAAATCAGTCACATTATCTACATCCTTTGCAGACTTAGGTATTTTCCAGGGACGTTTTTGAAATTTTATACAAAAACGAATTTTTGTCCTTTCCGTGTAAACTTGTGAAAGATTATGCCATCCAATCACATTGGATGAAACTGGTGTAGTATATACCTGTGGTTGATTAGTGAAATCATACTAGTATTGAATTAATCCGGGAAAGCCGCGTTCAAGTTGCCTGTATTGCCGTCACATCGTCTTCGAGATGTTTTCGCTCCATTTGTTTCTGTTCAATCTATTCTCTCTCTCTCACGATATCAGATCGCACTCTGGAGTAAATGACATCAAACAAATCGTGCGTTATGCTCATAGTGTTAGATCCGTTTTTTTATTTGACTCACTCGCTTTTGGACTTGTGGTAATCCCCTTCCATGACATCTCAAATAGGCATTGAATATTACCTTTTTGTCAGCATTGTGTTGTTTACTGTTCCTTTATTCCATAATCCCTAGCTGTTTCCTCACATTGTGGTCCGAAAACCATGTCTTCCAACTTATGCATATTTATTGTAGTTGTGCATGGTTAGACGTGTGCAGGCAACAGTCAATTCACACGTTTATGCGGAAAGAAATGGGTACTGTGATTGAAGGACGTTGCATTAACCGGGATGTGTTCTGCCGGGATCAAAGCAGTTGGTATGGGCTAGCCAGATCATTGCGTATTGACGAGAATCTGTATGGTTTCTATTTGTTACACTCGAGCGGCATGTGTTTATATCAAAGCAGATTCAGCGAACTGTCACTGCGTGGAACAATTTATTGTTCACAGTACCGGGTTGTTGTTGTTGTTGTTGTTGCTGACTTCCTGGTCATTCTCACAATTAGTATTCATTTAGACGTTTGAATAGTTCCACAGAATACACTGAGAACAAAAACACCGAGGCAAACAAGCTTGTTTTCCGTTATTCGTAATCACGCCAGTACATAACATTAAATTTGTATTCTGTTCTGAATGTGGGTGATTCAGCGATCTCTCAAAACATTGGAAATGATTAGTTGTTTTAGTTTCTGGGGCCTTGCGAGTGGCGACACTGGCATTTATTCACAGTTCACGCATAGGAGTATAAGCAGCAGACATTCAGTGCGGGAGCAGCAATGAATTCCATTCACCTGTCTTGAAAAACTAGTAATGCCATGGATTTTCCAGGTTGGAAGTTTTTCCACCTCAAACCCACAATGGTTTGCTGTTTCTTTTACTCCAGACAAAACTACAGGCACATGCCACACGGACCTTTCACGATCATAACCACAAAAAACGAAAGTCACCACCGATCTTCCTCGTTTCCATTCAAAGAGGCGCCACATTGACAGACGCTGTCCTAGAGTTTACTTACTCGTGAGAAGAAGTATTGTTTAGGGCTGATTTTGGACACTTTTTGATTTGAAACTAATGGTATTCTATGGTGAACAGAGCTGATTGATCGATTGATCTATTCTTGAGTGATGCCACTCCGACAAGTAGCACGACCGAGTTGACTGAATCCACGCGCTCACATTCTTCAATCGTTTCAGTTGTACACATCAGCTCTGCGTACTTCATCCACCCGATGTTCGTCCGTCTGCGAGCAGCCACAGGAGGTTTACTGTAATAAACTAAAAGCAAACGGTAGTATTGTCCAGTTACTCTTTGCAGTTCTAAAATTAGTGTTCAATCTGTGAGTGACTGCACTTCGTTCTACCGGCTTCGTTTTGCTGTGAAACAGAATTATCTGCATCTAGTATAATATTTAGTAAAACTCATAAATTAAGATAATGTGAAAAGACAAAAGCGTCTTAAAGCTGCCTCACAAACGGTTGGACTACTTACGGAAAACTTCGCAGGGTTTTTCTTTTCGGTGACAACGTGAATCATGAATTAGAAGGTTGCGTTTTTATTACATTTAGCGGTTTCATGGTTACATTCAAATCGTTCAATATACTTTTTACTTCCTATTGAAAACAGTCGATTGCAGATAAAAATACATGAATTGTTCCGTCACAAGACTGAATGCGCACGAGTGAGAATAATGTAAACTATAGTGCTTTAGGTTATTTCCACTAAAATATCCACTTCAGTTGGTGTTTTGACTTTGGAAGTGCACATTGCTGCCAACACAATATACAATCCCTCTCGGTCTAGCGTGTGTCCGGATCTGGTAAACCGTTCCTACTCATGAGTGACTACCTCAAAAAGTAGCTTGTTGTCTCATTAACTGCCATGGTGAATAGTTCTCGCATCATCCGGTCTAATGCGATCTTTTTTCAGTGCGTCTTGCATTCTTGAATTAATCTGTCTTTTAAAACTCTACCACTAGTGAACCAAGCCTTCACAAACTATATTAATCGACGAGAGACTGATTTTGGCGTAAGGTGCGACGTTTTATGGTCGTTATGGAAGAGAAAGTTTTTGTGTGTTTATATCTGTGTAAACATGAATTCATTGGAATGATTAACAGGTAATCGAACAACTGAGAACAGTGTGCAATGCCATTCGAAGAATAAATAACATGAAATACAGATAAGTAGATAGGCCTCATCTTATAAGGATAGGAAATTTGCAACCTGGATAAGCAACGATCTCAACGTTCTGTACCTGTGAAATCAATAAAACCCTTGTTTTTGGGCTCAGTTGATGTTGCACTCGGACCATCGTTGAGCTTTGATCAACCGCAGGCAGTGTGACTAAGTTTTGAGCACTGCCACATTGGTGAGTGTTCATTACTGCATTTTCCCCTCAATATAACGTTCATCTTGTCATATAGGGACAAAGCAGACAGCGCATTTAATGCGTTGAACAGAACCGCGGTATGTTTTAACCCAGCGAATGAAACCGTCAAAAAGGATATTTGTGTTCAGTACCACTCGGTGATCCAAATGACTTTTGGTGTTCAAAAGGACGATTAATGATAAATCTAGCAAAGATGTTGGAAATTTAATAATGGTTCTCTGGGGACAGACTGCTACTTCAGTGACATATATTTTTAAAATGTTAACTAAGCGTATCCGAACTCGCTCACGTCATTCACGCGTCCGGGGCAAGGCCAACGGTATTCGCGAAAATTTAAATTTTGCATGTTTCCTTTAACTTGTTTATCTAATGTTTATGAATGTGTTCCTGGCTGGACGACAATAAATATCTGCTAAGACTGCTCTGTTATCGGTTGTTTGAGAGAAACATCATAAGTTAAAAGTGATAGCAATTTTTTATCCTTTCGTTATGCGTTTGATCGAAGTAAAACGATGAGTAATCGCATTCCTCAGCGTTTGAGGTGTTTCATTTAAAACATTTCCTAGTATTTTTCCGAGCTCATTAAATGACTGAAAGCTTTTTTGAAAAGTTATTGTTTATAGTTAGCTTCAGTTGCATTTAATTATCAAAAATACTTTGGTGGAGTCAACTTTCACGAAGGAGGCTTCCTCCTAATCAAACACTGCT